TAGGATCTTCTTTTTTCACTTAGTTTCAAATTCTCCACGTCATTAAGCGCACTTTGTAAACATAATGTCAATGACCATATCATGTTCCAGAATATGCGTATATCATCATTTACTGAACCATAATTTACTTTCTGCCAATCTGGGGCTACTAAAAATAATAGCACAATGCCCTGGCCGGTTTGGCTCAGTGGTTAGAGCGTCCACCTGCGGTCCGGAGAGACCCGGGTTCGGTTACCGCTAAGGGCACGTACCTCGGTTGCAGTTTGTCCCCGGCCCTGGTTGGTCGTGCGGGTGGCAGCCACTCGATGTGTCCCTTTCACATCGATGTTTCCCTCTCTCTCTCTCTTCCTCTCTCTCCCTCCCACTCTATCTGTACAAAAAATGGAAAAATGTCCTCGGGTGAGGATAAAAAAAAATTTTAAAAAAATAATAGCACAATGCATACGACAGCATTAGGCTGTGTTCACAGTGCTGGCACTTTTCTTTGGGATTTGAATGCTTTTTTTAGAGCCTTTGTGCAAACTACCAAATTGCTTTTTCCAGAAAGACTATCCCGATCTCAGCAATGACTGAGAGAGCTCCCCCCCCACCCCGTCTCTTCTTAAATGTTTGTTAATCTCTTAGACAAAAGTGGTATTTTATCACTTAATTAGCATTTTAGATTGTGAGTGAGGTTAGTTTTATTCAGGTTAATCAACCATTTGTGATTGTTGTAGGAATGATCTGATCGAGGGCACCCTTCACTCTCCTCTTCTCGTCCCCCTTCCTCGCCAGCAGCCCTGCCCCAGCCCTGAGCCCTCCTGCCCTGATGTGCACCCCCCCCCCCCGCCCCCGGCTCCGGGACAGCCCTCTCCCTCTGGTTCTGCATCCCTTGCCTCTGTCCTCAGCCTCTCTCATTCCCTCTACAGCCCCATCACCGGTCCCTCACTGCTTCTTCTGTGCCTGTGGGTGCCCCCTGCCCCGCCTCCCTGGATCCCCAGCACGGGAGAACCAGGCTGGCTGCCAGCATCCACCACCAGTGGCTCAGTGCTGGCCTCAGGCTGACACAGCAGGGCCCAGGTAAATGGCCACAGTTGGGGCCTAACCTGCTGGGACTTTGCACGACTCTGTCTCATCTGTTGCTTTCCCATTTGCCTCCTCTCCCCATTATTCGAACTCAGGCTTTAATTTTCACAGATGATGCAATTTGGAGGTTCGGGGTTCTGCAGGAGAATTCCTGCGAGCCTCAGAGCACAGGGCCCTGCTTGCCCTCGTTAGCCAGGAGGGGCTCTGGACGCTCTGCAGACCCCGCCAGGCCCTGGCAATCAGCAGGGGCCGTCTGAGCTGCAAAGTGCAAACCTGGTCCTTCTTAGTGAGACTTTGCAGAAATCCCGCTGGAGATTTTTCTGCCCCTGCCCTGTCTACTTTCTTTCATAATGATAAATGGCTGAAAAGAAAACTATCTAATCTCCAAACTGCTTGCTTTTTCCCCCCTACTCTCTCTTCAAGGAGAGAAGGAAGAACACAGTCACATAAAACAGAGTCCTTCATCGCCTGCTCCTCCGGAGACATTCTCTCCTTTTCATCCCGGGCCTGTTTCTGATCTGCGATGGCCTCGCACCGAGAGCTCCAGCCAGGCCCTCTAATCAGCTGCGACAGACGCTGCAGCTGCTTGGGCTGCCCATCGCCATGGAACTGATTACCTGGCCCCTTTGCCATTTTGTTCTGCACACAATTGCTTAATAGCTGTCACCTTGGCTTTCGGTCCCAGCCGGCTTCGGGCTGACTGGTTCCCATTACCCAGGATGGCCAGTGCAAGTTCACCACCTTCACAGGCCGGCCCTGATTGATTCCGTGTGCCTCGGAGACCCGCACGGTATTTGCAGAGGAGGGAGGAGGGCCCTGTCGGGGGACAGGGCAGAAACCTCTCGGCCGCAGGAACTGCGGAGCTCGCCATGTTTGAATCATTACCGGGGCTTCTTGTCAGGGGTCTGGCCTCTGCTGACATAGCTGCTAATGAATGTGTGAATTTTTAAAAATATAAAACAACCCAGCCTGTCCTAACCTTCACTGTCGCCACCTGCCACCTGGGTGGGGGCAGCAAGCAGAAGCAGGGCTCTTCTGGCCCGAGCTTGTGCTGATCTTGGGGATGACAGTCTGGCCCTCCCTGCCCCCTCCCCTGCCCGCCAGGCAGGAGGACTGGGGCTTGGAGGGAGACATCTTTCAAGTGAAATCCTTTGCACTGGGAACTACTTCAATTAGACAGCAGGGGGAATGTTAACATGCCCTCCGGCCTTTTAAGTGGGTTTTAATTTTATGTTGTAAGATAAGACACTGCGAGGCCGGGGCTGCTACTCCTCCAGCAGGCTCCATTAGTGGGGCCAGCCGAGGCCTCTTGACCCCCTGAGGCCCCGCAGAGGCTTGAAGTTGGTTTGGTTTTTTAACAATTTGTCAGTCTGACCCAGCTTCTCTTTTTCCTTCTCCCTTTTGTTATTCCAGGCTCCTCTGCTGTGGGAGAGCCAAGGGGTGGCCCGGCGGCTCAGGGCCCAGGGGCTTTCCCCAGCGGCCTGGCCCTGGGCTGGGGGGCAGAGCCCCGAGTGGCCGGCCTCTGGCCTCGCAGCTGAATGTTCGTAGATTTTCTCTGCCTCCCAGGCAGGGCACGGCAGCAGCAGACACTCTCCTGTGGCAGGTTTCTGGCCCGATGATGTACGACCTGTTGGCGCTACTGAATAGTGCCCTTTGTTCCAGGGTATCCCATGTGCCCCCTTTTTATTGACGTGTTGATTCAGAGGGGCCAGAAAGTTCCACAAATCCCACCGCAGGCCTGGCTGTAGCCATACCCAGGTGGGGAAGACCGAGGACCTCCTGCTTCCCAGGACGCTGGGAGGAAGCGATGGGCCCACAGGCGAAATATCCCTGCAGGAGCAGCTTCCTGTACCTGGGACTCCGGCACCTGTGTCTGGACAGAGCCTGGGGACGAAGGCACAGCTAGCTCCCCGCCTCCGCCTGCTTCCCAGAAGGTGCAGTGTCCCAGGATGAAAGGGGCAGAGCAGGTGTGTTAGGAAGAGACCCCTTCCCCCAGCCAAGTTCAGTGCACTTTTCCTCTGTGATCCACAAGCCCTAGCTGGGAGCCAACAGCGAGGGAAGAAGGAGCGGGCCTCCTGCAGGAAGAAGTCCAGCTGGACAGAAACCCTAGAGCCACAGGGGCAGGAGTCGGAGGAAACAGGGGAATAGGTTGACTTTTTACCCAGCAGGAAATCGCATCTTACTCCTGATGAAGACTGAAAAGCACCCCTGACCCTTGCCTCCTCTCCTCCTGGCTTCCCGGACCAGCCTGCATGGGGGATGGCGGACGACAGTGAGCAGCTTTGGAGCAGGAGCCACGAGAGGAGGGCAAGAGGCAAGGGGTTGTCAGGAGGGAGACCCGACAGCACCTCTGACACCAGCTGCTCTCCTGAGCTAACGGGGTGAATCCGCACTGGGTTTCCTCTCCTTTCTCCCCCCGCCATGTGGCCAGGCCTCCAGGCTCCGACAGAGTGGGCAGGCGGGGGCTCCGTCGGGCCTGCAGCCCCTCTCTGGGTGCAGGCGGCTGATGAGCTCACCTCCGCCGCTCCAGAAAGCCCCAGCCTCCTGCTCCTCAGCTCCTTCCCTGGAGCAGCTGCACAAACCCCGCTAAGCATTCCCCACGTGGGGGACCAGCTCCCTCAAATCGCCAGGTTGTGTGCCGACTGCTAAAAGGTAACAGTCTCGCGGGCTGCCTACCCTGCCCTTCTGGGCCCTGGGGCCTGCAGTGCAGACCGGCACCTGAAGAGTGGCAGGAAGTCAACCGTCCTGACGTCCTTCTCCGAGCTGAGGGGCTCCATGGTCGGTGGCACCGAGGGCTCCGTCCGGCCCTTGAGAAAACACGCGAGCGACAGGGAGGCAGAGACCACTGCTGAGCCGAGAAAGGACGAGTCCGGAGTAAAGAGCACCCACACACTTCACAGTTGTAAAATGGCTTTATGTTCCGATACGTAAAATAAAACGTCCATGCTATATAACAAAACACTTGCAGTTCCATAGCCCTGTTCGCTAATGTGTCTTCTAATAAAGTTTCATCTGTACTGTGTGTTTATATATATATATATTTATTTATTTATTCATTTATTTATTCATTCATTCATTTATTTACTTATATGTTTTTCTAAACCATTCTTAGTTTTTAACATCAAGTGTGTAATAAAAATTTAAATAGCTGTCTTTCCAAATACCCCTTCCAACGTTTCATTTTTTTTTTTAAGTTTATTCATTTGTAGAAAGCAAAGCTGAATTTGACATGTGGCCTGCATTTGTGAGATAGATAGATAGATATATTTCTTTATTTATTTATATAATATATAAATAGCTATTCAGCATGCAAAGGGTTTAGTGATTCCCCAATTTGATTACAGAGCTCACACCGGCCGCGCGGAGGGCCTGGGCGGAGACCCGGAGACCCGCACCCTGGGGAGGAGCACGCTGGCTGTCTCCACTGGAAGACGTGCATGTTTTCCCAATTCTCACTTTTATTTCTGCTGGGCTTTCTTCACCAGAGGCAAGGGTTTTCTGGGAGCAGAGCAGGCTCCGGAGATGCCGGGCAGCAGCCCCGGTGGAGTCTCCTGGGGACGCAGCCAGGTGAAGTGTGTTCGTAACTGCCAGTCACAGGATGGTGCCTGAGCGGCTGCGTCCTGCGGGACAGGGGAGGGCTGTGCGCTTTGTCAGGAAACCTGAATGACCACAGGGATGCCGCTGGTGGCATGTCCCCACCTCTTGAAGAAAAAATAAACATCTTTTCATACCCATCAGGTGGCACTTTGCACAGGACCCTCTCTGAAAACTAGCTCTGCGACCTCGGAGCTCCAGGGATGACTCTCCAGGCCACGCGGTGCGCAGCCAGCTCCACTCGGGACGCTCTGCGGCTTCGCTGCGCCCACCTCTCAAGTAGTGTCACAGAATCTCCAGAGGCACGGAGTGGGCCTCCCGCTCCCACTGAGGCTCTCGGCCCCCTTGCAGAGAAGGCCAGGAGCTCTCGGGTGTGCGGAGCCCTCCCACCCCCGCGACGAGCCTCCTCCCGCCACGTTCCCTGTGGGAGAGACCTCACCACCCGGCCCTGAGTAAATCAAATATTATATTATAAAATATCTAAATAACTCACATGAACTCCCCACTTCCATCCCACCCACGGGCATGTTCAGGAGATGTCAGATCACAACGGACCCAGGTCCTGCAGCCAAAATCACGTCTCAGACAGTTGTGGTTTCTCCTTGTCGTGGCCTCAGTTGTGTGGCAGAAGACAGAGGCTCTCCAGACACGTGGGCACACACGCGCACACCCCACCCTTTAGTACCTTCCTGTGTTTCTTGGTGGTGCAGGCCACCCACAGAGCTCGCCATGGATCAGCACGGGCCTGGGCTGTGGAGGAGACCTGGGGGTCACCCGTCGGTCCAGTTCTCCACAGTCCCCATTCCCGAATGGTACTGCAGGGAGGCTTCCCGGGACAGCGAGAAGCTCTGGGAGTACAGGAACTCGTTGGCAGCGTTGAGGTGCGGCGAGGGCGGCTTCCTCTCGCACACGGCCGGGAGGCCCCGCTCCCTCGGGAAGGTGGCGCTGGGCCCCCGCTCCCGGCCCTGAGACTGGGAGAGCTGGTTGTAGACACTGAAGTGGGTGTTTCCCGGTGGCTGGGAGCTCTGGGCAGAGATCGTGGGCAGCCGAGGCATCATCGTGGTGGCGGTGAAGTGCGTGGGGAAGGACTGGTAAGGCACAGTCTCCATTGTCTGAACGCTGTAGCTCGTGTACGGTGACACTGACGTCCACATGTTACAGCTCAGCGGGGGCGGGGGCAAGTCGTCCACCCCGGACACCCCGGCAATCTCGGGCCCTGAACCCGAGTACATACAGGCTTCCCTGGGGGTCACCTCACTGCAGTAGGAAGGGCTCAGCATCTGCTGGTCATAGGGAGGGGGGGAGCGGAAGTAATGATCCTCCCCCACGGCAGAGGGAGCGTCCAGATAGGGGCGCTTGCAGGGTAAGTCCAGGTGGCGGGCACTGTCTGCGAAAACAAAGACACCTTCAGGAGGAGCCATTTCTGCCGGCGCACGGTCAGCCCCAGCCAGCTGCCTTTGTCACTCAGGGCCCACCCTGGCCCAGAGGTGCCATGGCACACCCAAACCCATTTTACTCAGCCGCAGCTCTGACAAGGTGGCAGCAGCCAAGAAATGGTAAGAGTGTGGACCCTGCTCACAGGCCTCGGGGGACACAACATCACTGGTCACTGAGTGATGTGTCCAGCCAGGAGGTATGCAGCTTCGATGCTTTGCCTGACTAGGGAATGGGAAGAGGCTTTAATATGCTGGCATTGTTACTATTATTATTTTAAATATGTCTTTATTGATTTTTTTGAGAGAGAGGAAGGGAGAGAGATAGCAACATCGATGAGAGAGCAACATCGCTCAGCTGCCTTCTGCACGCCCCTCACGGGGGATCGAGCCTGCAACCCAGGCACGTGCCCTGACTGGGAATCGAACCGGACCTCTCCGTCCATGGGACAACACTCAGTTCACTGAGCCACATCGGCGGGGGCTACGCTGGCATTCTTAAACCAGACCCACCCTGGCCAAGGAAAGGAGACAACCGCCAGACCGAACCAGGCCCAGAGGCCGCATCTGTCTGAATTAGCCAGAAAGTTAACGCCACCGATCCACTGTTTCTGCCTCGATCCTCAGCTCCCAGGGAGGCCTTGGGAAGCCAGACCCGCCTGCAGGTGCCTTCCTGTTGCTTTTAGAAGTAAACCCTACACATGTTCAAGGAAGTCCCACGACATTGTCACCACACAGATTCCAATACAACACTGTTCACACAATTAAGAAACGGAGCTGATACTAGCAAAAGGCCACATGTACTTTTCCGCCTAAGCTAATACTCTGTTTGAGGATCAATAACACCAGCTGCCCCAAACCATCCTCAACCGTGAGGGTCTGACTACCTGGAGGGGCACGTGCCCCCTGGGACCTGGGCGGCAGCCCACTCAACAAACTTAACAACACTTGTCCAGCGGCTTGTCTTGGCTTAACTCCTTCTGGATTCTCTAGGGCCTCTGTGTGTACACAAGGCAGGGGGCCCGGAGGAGTGGCCAAGTCTGAAGGCCTGTGCCCACCTCCGCCCCAAGTGGAGGGGTCTGCCTGGGTGAGGAGGCACTTGCCTATCCGCTCGCCCAGCTCTCTGGCTCATCCCTCACCCATCCCTCCTCTCCATCTCCTCTCCAAATCCCTCCTTTCTCCCAAGAGTGCTAAGCTCACGAACTGGAAAGTGGCCCCGTCACTCGGGTCCGGAACGAGCAGACCTTCTGCAGAGGGCCAGACAGTAAACATTTTAGGCCTCATGGGCCCGGTGGAATCCCTGGCAACCACAGTAGGTCTTTGAATAACAGTTTCATTCAACATGGTTTCATTGTAATGTTGATGAGGAAAAACAATCCATTCTGGGCGGGGCCTTGTCTGCGCGGGTTTTCTCTGGTCATCTGGTTTCCTCCCGCATTCCACGGATGAGCACGTGAGGGGAGCTGGCAGGACTACTGTCCCAGCCTGCGGGACTGCACCCTGTGATGGAGGACGTCCCGTGTAGGGTGGGGTCCCTGCTTGCACCCTGAGCTGCTGGGATAGCCAGCCACCTGCCACCCTGAACTGGAGTAAGCAGGTTGGAAAATCATCATCTTACCTTTTTTTTTTTACCCTCACCCGAGGACATTTTTGCATTTATCTTCAGATAGAGCGGAAGGGAGAGACGGAGGAAGAGAGAGAGAGAAACATCAACGAGAGAGAGACACATCGAATGGTTGCCACCCACATGACCCCAACTGGGGCCGGGGACAAACCGCAACCGAGAGGTATGTGCCTTTAGTGGAACCGAATCCGGGACTCCCTGGTCTGAGGGCCGACGCTCCAACCTCTGAGCCAACCTGGCCAGGGCTGTCTTGCCTTTTTTTATTCACCTTTCTTAAACGTTTGTCTAGTTCGCATTTATTTTAATGTTTAACATTGAAGTGTTTGGGGTCTTTAGTTAGAATTTTGGCGATGTTTCTGCGGTAGGGACTTGGCTTGTGTTTGGCAATCCGCCTGCGGCAGCACAGGTTCTGTTGCACACGGTGTTGCCTGATGTCGCGGAGGACGCTGGGACTCGCTCTGCTGTCCCCATGGAAGCAGCCACAGGCGGTGGAAGTAAACACGCGTGGCTGTGCTCCAGTGAGCCTTCAGCCACGAACACTAGCATTTGAATTTCATATGATGTTCACCTATCATGAAATAGTCTTTTGCTTTAAAAAAAAAAAAACTATTTAAAAATGTAAAAACCGTTTTGTATGGCTCACAGGCAGCAGGTCAAACTGAGTCCCGGGCCACACTTTCTGACTCCTGGTCTAGTCACGCGTTCTAATGGGGCTGGTACAGGGGAGCCATGCCCCACAGCCCTAGGAACTGGCTGAGAGAACATTCTGGATTGCAAGCAAAAGTCCTCAAACTCATTCCCAAGAGAATGTCAGTGACCCTGTGATGTCTCTCGGTGTAACACCACCAATCGCCCCTCGCTTAGAGATGAAGAAATCAAGACCTGGTACCAGAGCCCAGGTGCCGGTTCCAGCCCCGGGCTCTGCTTCCTCATCACGAAGCCAGCACACGCCGTGCTGTCGCCCGTTGTCCTGGCCCCCAGACCACCTCCACAGTAGCTCCTCTCCACTCTCCAGACGCCTGTCAGCCCCTGCTGTGATGAGGCAGAGAGCCTGTAGTCATGCCTCTAGCTTATCCCCGTTCTAGGCCTGAGGTCGCTTTGGTAAATGACAGCCCCGATTCAGAGGCCCTGGGCTGTGACCCCTCGGCCTCCTGCCATGCTCAGAGGCAGCGCCCAGCTGGTTTGGGGCTGTCTGCCCACCCCGTGGAGGCTCTCAAAGCAGGGGCTCCAAAGCAACACCTGGGACTGGGGAGGGTACCAGTGTCTGGGGACCCAAGGCACGTGCTGTCTGTGAGGATTCTGAAGTTTGCGTTAAAAGCAAGAACCGCCCTGGCCGGTTTGGCTCAGCAGTTAGAGCGACAGCCAGGGAATCAAAGAGTCACAGGTTTGATTCCGGTCAAGGGCACATACCTGGGTCGCAGGTTGGATCCCTGGCCCTTGTTGGGGTCTTGCAGGAGGTAACCAATCGGTATGTCTCTCTCACATGGATGTTTCTCTCTCCCCCCACCCCCACTCTATCTGAAAATCAATGGAAAAATATCCTTGGGTGAGGATGAAAAGAATAAAATAAAATAAAAGCAAGAACCAGCATCCTTGCACTGAGCCTGGCCATGGTCCCCCAGCCTTTCAGGCGTGCTCTCCCAGGCCACGCGCGCGTGTGTGTGTGTGAGTGTGTGCATGTGCGTGCACACAGGTGTGTGTCCATGCATGCTCCCATGTGTAGTGAAGAGGGTGTCGCCCCTGCTCCGACCCTCTGGAGCTCCTAGACCAGGAGAGAGCTACCTCGTCTTTTCAGGCAGTGATAGAAGAGGCTGGAGTCCCGCTGGGCCGGGAAGGCGTTCAGGGGGAGGTCCTGTGGCTCCGCAGCGAACTGCATGTGAGCCCCGTTCTCGTACTGGTAGTGCTGGAGCGCCTGGTGGGGGCCGTGCAGGGGGCTGACGTCCGGCTTGGCCGAGAGCTGCGTGGACACGAGCCTCTGCCTCATGATGCTTTTGGAGATCACGGGATATTCTTTGCTGGAGCAGTGAGGACGACAGTCAGAGGGAGACAGGAGGAGCGAAGACACTGCCTGAACCCGGCCTGCCCACCCCGCCCCTGGCCGGGGAAGCCCCACCTCTGCAGCCGGGCCACACGCAGGTCACTGTCATCACTGCCCCGGAATCCCTTGGCGAAAGGGTTGTTCTCAATTTTCAGTTGTGTGATCTGTCAGAAGAGGACAGGCAGTGGGGTTGCTGGGGTAGAGGATCGGGCCCTCTTCCCGCCCCGGGCACATTCAGAAGTCATGGCAGCGTCTGGGGACGTGGGCGCCCCAGCCCTGAGCCGGCCAGGAGCCGCGCTGGGTCCTCCTGGCCTCGCCAGGCACATCGGCCATGGGCTCCCATCCACTGGACTGGCTGCTGAGCTCCCTGCTCTCACCACGCTCCTGGCTTCAGTCCCTCATCGTTCTCTCCTGGGGCCTGTAACCGCTTCCTGTCCCTGTCACCCTGTCCAGTGCAGCTGCTGTCGGGTTCCCAGTGACTGGACTAGATGCAAACCTGACTCTGTCCCTCTCTGCCTAAAACCCAGCACAGCCGTGGGCCTTCTGCAATGCCCCTGCCCACCTCACCAGTCCAACATGCACGATGTGACAAGCACCCCGAAGTGGCGAAGGCGGAGGGCGGGCGAGTGGCCGGGCAGGGTTTGGAGGCAGTTTGGTTGGGCTGCGTGGGTGAGCGGTGGGAGGCAGCCGGCCCCCCGACCACAGCTGGCAGGGCCACAGGACCCCTCCCCGCCTTGCAGGCCCAGAATCCCACCTCTGAATCCCAGCTGGGAAAGATTCTAGAGGAAGGGTCCTAACACTTGCTATGGGGCAAGCTCCATACCCCAATTTTTGTAGTTGCCAACTGTGTCCAGTCCCCCGGACAGACCGTAATCCCTGTGCACCTGAGACCTAGGAGTCTGGTCTCCCTTCCTGCTCACTGTGTGCTCTGAGGGCCACACGGGTTTCTGAGGTCCCTGCACCGGCCTGCCGCGACCTCACTGCCCCCCGGAGTGCCCCCCGAAATGCCGCAGGGTGTGAGTGGCGGCGGCGGTGGGAACCGCAGCAGTACCTTGTGGTTCTGGTAGGAGGTCACGGAGATGAAGGAGGTCTCTGGAAACACGTGGGTGCAGAAGGCTGTGTTTTTAGAGCCAAAGGCATTGTTCTCATCAGCCTTCACAATGTGTAGCCGTGGCTGGTACTTGTGCATGGAGTTGAGGATGATCTGGAAGACAGGGGCCTCGTGCTGAGCTCCAGGTCCCGCCCTCGGCCCTCGGCCCCTTCCTGGGCTGGCTCTCCTCCCCCAGAAGCCCAGGCCCAGTGCCGGGCTACGTGGACTGAGCCCAAAAGGTCCTAAAGTGCCCAGTGGAGAACCAGGCCCCTGAGCCCCAGACTCAGCCCCCGTGGCCCCTCCTCGGCCCTGCTCCAGCCCAGGCCTCCCTGATGGTAGACGCTCCACGGTGGCCCTGGAGGACGTGGCCACCCCAGCGAACTCAGCTCGGTAGGTAGGGGGACTCTGAGTTGAAGACAAAAGTCCAGGGTGCCACTGACTCACTTCCTGACTCGGCCAAGTCGCTGGACGTCTCTGAGCCTTGGTTTTCACATTTGTAAAATGGGATCATAATTCATAACTTACTTCCTTCAGGTTTTCCCTCTAGGCTGACTCCTCCCCTTGCTTCTCTGTCTTTTCTCCTGCCTCTTCGCCCTCTGCGGACCCCTCCCTACCACTTATGTGTGACCTGCCTTCCCTAGAAATGCCCACGGGGGGGGGGGGGCTCGGCCCCCTCCTCCCATTTGTCAGCAACGAAAGCAGCTCCCAGCCCAAGAGTCTGGGGAATGGGGGGTGGGGGGAACTGAGGAAAACGTTGCACTCTGACCTTTGTCATCTAGCCACTCCTTTGTTCATTCATCCTCAGCATTCAGCGAGGCCTGCAGGGCAGCTGGAGACTCGTGCACCCTGTCCTGAGACCTGCCCGCAGGGAAACTGCAGAGCCCCTCAGGGAATGCCAGAGGGAGCCGGAGGCCGGGATGCCTGGGGTGGGGAGGTGGGTCACCCCACGGCCAAGGCTACAGAGAACCCAGGAGGCGTGGCCTGGCCCGGAGTGACACACAGTAGTGGCTGCTCCAAACCTGCTCCATTCGGCTGCGCCTCACGGTAGCGGCTGCATCATGTGCCATTAAAATGTATTTTTTATCGTTGACATTTGCCAGACGCACTCCCCACTGGAGGCAGGACCAGGAATTTGGGGCATTTTATCAGCACTGCTGCTTTTGTTAACCCTTTGGCTCCTGTCCTGGCTGGGCCAGGCTGGCCCTCAGGTCCCCGTCCCCTTTGAGTTGGCTGCTTTCTCCCCGCCTGGGGCTGGAGCTCAGTGAGAGGTTCACCGCTGCGTGACCAGGGTGCCCGCAGAAGGGCCAGAGCCAGCTGGGAAGGCTCCGCACTCGTCACACCCCGGGCACAGGGGCAGCCCAGAGCCCAGGTCCAGCCGCGGAAGTGGGTGTCCGGGGCTGGGCTGGGGGCTCTGGCTGTCCCTGGGTTCCCCGGTTCCGGCTGAGGAGCTCCGTCAGCAGGACTGGCTTGCTGCCTTCTGCACCGGCCACTCCCCTTAGCCCTCAGTGACACACCTCTGGACCCCCTTGGGCAGGTACAGAGCTTCCCAAACCCCAGACCAGGTCCCGTGGCTGGAGACCCACTGGCCAACTGGGGGCTGCCAGACAAGAAACAAGACAGGCAGAGTGAGACGAAGGACACAAGTCCTGCTCAGGGCGGGGCTCGAGGGACGTCCCTTCCCAAGAGGCTGGGAAGGTCCCCTGGGGAGAGGAGCTGGGTCTTGGGAAACACCCCCAGTCCCTTCGTTACTGTCACCCTGCACTCGTCCCCTGAGCTGCAGAGCTAACAAAGGACCTAAGTTCCCAGAGGCCCAGCTGAAAACTCAGAGGTGGTCTAGATGCCTCCAGAGATCCCCAGAGTCCCACCTCTGCGTCTCTGCACATGCAATTCCCTCCGCTGTTTTATCTTCCTTTCCCATCCTGTCCCACCTCCCAGGCCTGTCGGCTCCTCCGGGAAGTGTCCCCAGAGGGCTAGGGCCCCTCTGAACTCCCCGTTCTGAAACCTCTGGGCGTTTGCTGCGCGGGTGGTGCAGCTCCCCGCTGACTCCCGTTGCTTCCTGTCCCTCCCGTTAAACCACACTCTTCCCAAGACAGGGCCCTGTCTTCTGTTCCTTGCCTGCTTCCGAGCTCCTTCTGCCCCAAACAGGAACCAGGACGGCAAGTCAGGGCTGCAGGGGGGCCCGGCGTGGCCACAAAATCCCTGTGAGTCCTCTCTTGTCTCTCTGCTCACCACAGACCAGATAGCCGCGAAGGCGGTTTTCGGGTCAAAATAGTGATGAACCGCGTGCGCACACTGTCTCTGAGGCACCCCCGGCTCCCCGCAACAGGACCGCCCTGTCACTCAGCTCTCCTGGGGGGCGGGGCTCACGGGGGCCAGACCCCTGCGCAGTGGACACCTTGGGGCCGACGCAGCAGTCACAGGCTGGAACAGTCCCCACTCCGGAGCCAGTCAGCGCTGAACAACTCTGGGACCCCGTCTGTAAGCAAGAGCCTCCCATCCCTGCTGTGCGACCCTGGCTCGGACCCCACTGTCTCTCACAGGGTTTGGGGACACCCCTCCCTGTCTCCGTCTACTTCCTCTCCATCCCACCTGTGACACAGCCGAGGTCCCTCCCCTGCTCGGAACTCAGGGCTCACGCAGGAAGGGAAGCGGACAGGCTGTCAGGGAACCGGGAGGAGAGAAACTGCTCGGCCCGCACCGGCTGGTCGGGAGCGCCGGGGGTGCCGTCCCACCAGAGAGAAGTGAAGAAGGGCCTGGAAGCGTCCAGGGGTCTCTGTTCACCAGCGGCAAGTCCTGAGCAAAGCTCTCGCCCTCCCGTCACCAGGGTCCCCATCTACAAAGTGAGGCCTTTGCCGAAGCGGTCCCAAATACCCTCCTGACTCTGACAGTCTGGAACCTGGACAGGTGTCTGCAAGGAAGTCCCACCCACTGAACCAAATCTAAACTGGAGCCTCAGCCCCATCAGCCCGAGAAAATGAGAAGCCAGCTCAGTGACTCACACACCTGGCTTCACTCGGAAGTTCCTCAGGCGTCACATTAAACTACTTCGCCAGAGTCTCACATTTATATTTGCTGTAGAGGATATTGGGCCAAATGGGCCGGCCACGTCAACAAGCCCCACTACACGACTGGTCTCGTCATCATCGCTGTTTTATAGAAATGGGATTCATTATGTTCTGGCCACGGCTCAGAAGCCTGTTCTATTTTAACAACCGCGATAGCGCCAAACATCCATCTCCTCGAGAGATGGCCGTCGCATGCGTGGCCAGGGAGGCCCAGCTTTATCAGCTTAGAAGCACAGAACATTAGGACACGGAGAGGCAGACCTTGGAGATCATCCTAGTCCAACCTCCTCATTTTACAGATGAGGACCAGGAGGCCTGTGGTGGGAATGTGACTGGCCCAAGGACACACAGCTGGCTGGAGACAGAATCCTGAGAAGATTCCAGGGGGCCTCCGAGAGTACACGCTGCTCCCCACGAGCTCAGAAACCGCGGCTGACCCTGGAGCAGCACGGTACGAGCTGCGCGGATCCGCTTATGCGCGGAGTTCTTTCAACTGACTCACGCCATGCAAATGGTATTGTTCAAGGGTCAACCCCGATGTTGGGAATCACTTCCGGGGCAGCAACCCAGGGGCCCAGAAATGCCCCTGCCTTCTCTCCCAGGCCCAGCAATAGTAGCCAATGCGTACTGAGCACATCCCGTGTGCCAGGCCCCGTGCCGAGTATTCTGCGCACACCATATCATTCATCTTTACAAGAGCCTGTAAAGTAGGCATTATTATTAGCCCCATTTTAACAGAGGCCCAGGGAGGTGAAGGCATTTGGCCCACCTCAGACAGCTGATGGGAGGCAGAGCCAGAATCGGTACTAATTTCTGAGCCTGCGCTCATACCTGTACCTGGATGGTGATCTGGAGTCGTGTGGGGCATCTGTGTGTCCCACAGCCCCCCGGCAAGGGCTCAGCACGTGGGCGGGGCTCAGCAAGCAGAGGAGGAAAAGAGAAATAGCTCTGGGTGCCCACTGGCAAGTTCACAGCATCAGGTTTGGGGTGATGCCAGCCCCTGGTGGAGGAAGCCTTCTCTGTCTGAATGGCACCCCTACAGTGTGTCCACTCATTCACTCCCTGCTGACCAGCACCCACTTTTTGCCAGTCAGTGCTAGGCACTGGGATGTCGTGGTGATCAAATGCTTCATGGTTTCCCGTCTAGTGGGAAGTCACACAGTAATCCAAAGTCGAGCAAAAGTAATGGTGAGAAAATGCAGCGGGAGAGTGTGCATCCAAGACAGTGATGAGATGAGAGACCGAATATAGAGTCTAGGACCTTAGGAAGAAAACGTGAATACACTTTCAGAGGACACAAAGCAGACCTCAACCAAGACAGAGGCGCTCCTGCCAATGTCCCCAAGTAAACTGGCCACGTATAGCGATTCTAATAAAAATACAGAGAAAAGGGGAGGCCAGAGCGGGTCACCCGTATGGTGATGGAAGGAGACTGGCCTTGGGTGGTGAGCACACCGTGTAGAACACAGACTGAGTCATAAAGCTGCCCTCCCGGACCCCACGCGATGTTCTTAACCAGTGTCAGCCCAATACATTTAATTAAAATAAATAGATAAAAATAAAAAATCAGCTTCGTTCTTAACACGGCCAGCTTATCCTAAAGTTCATGTGAGAAAATGTACGCGGCAAGCCCAGACAGCTGAAAAAGAGCAAGGGAGGGCAGCCCCGCCAGGCTCTGCACCGCCGGGAAGCCTCCGCAGTTAAGTCTCTGGCACGTGAACAGACACGGAGTCAATTGGGGATTTCGTCTCCTGAAATCAGCATCCAAAGCAGGGCGGGGAGAGCACCAGTCAATTACTGGTGTCGGGACAGCTGGATAGCTCTCTAGAAAAGAATAAAAAAGTTGGATCCACACCTCACATCAAATGCCAGAATAAATTCCAAAAGAATCAATGGTTGAGATGTAAAAATAAATCCATAAAACACTAAAAGAAAACAGAAGAAAATTCCCTTATAAGTAAGGAGTGGATAAGGGCGTGTAGTGACTCACCATGCAGAATGTGCAAGGCAAAGTCCAGCGCATCCACTGGGACCCTCCTGCGCAGGGACACCACCCCAGGCACAGGCCAGACGGGGCACCATATGGGCAGCTCATGTCGCAGACAGGAGCTAAATCTTCCTAGTTCATAAACGCTCCTAGACTTGATACGGGATCAAAAAGCTAAGAGACAAACGAGCCAAGGATAAGGACAGCAGTTCACGGAAGAGGAAATACATATAAAAAAGATGCTCAGCCTCACTCATAATAAAGGAAATAAAAACTAAAACTGAAATTGATAGCTACATTTCACCCATCAGACGGGCAAAAACCCAAAACTCTCCTCTCCCACCGTGGCGGTGAGGCTGCAACAACGGCGGGAATGGACGTCCGTGTGACTCCAGAGGAGGGAAGATAACAAATCCAAATGCCCTTTGAGCAGGCACTTTATTGCACAGATGTACTTGGCACAGGTATACAATGCCATATGCATGAGCTTAGTCAAAAGAGTAAAAATCTAGAAAACCATCCGAGTCCTTCAGGAAGGACTAGCTGCCTCATTTACGCAACAATCAGCCGTGACACTCTGCAGCTGTGAGAGAGGACACGCTCTGTGTGACGGGAATGGCCACCGTGACATGCTCGGTTGACAAAGTCCGGTGCAAAGACAGGTTTGTAGTATGTTACCATTTGTGTCTAGAAGGGATCTGATGTTCTGGATTTGCTTGTAGGTGCAGAAACGCTGAGGAGAATTAGTGACATTGGCTACTGGTGGCTGGGATTGGAAGAAACTAGGTGGATGGAGAACCCATAGAGGAAGACATCTCATTGTAGACATGTTGGGTTATTCACTGGTTTATTTTTAAACCCTGTGAATGTATTTCCTATTCAAAAGCAAATATGGGCCCTGGCCGGTTTGGCTCAGCGGTTAGAGCGTCGGCCTGTGGTCCAGAGAGACCCAGGTTTGGTTCCTGCTAAGGGCACGTACCTCGGTTGCAGTTTGTCCCCGGCCCTGGTTGGTCGTGTGGGTGGCAGCCACTCGATGTGTCCCTTTCACATCGATGTTTCTCCCTCTCTCTCTCTCTCTGTACCTCTCTCTCTCTTCCACTCTACCTGAACTAAAAATAGAAAAATGTCCTCGGGTGAGGATAAAAAAAAAAAAAAAAAAAAAAAAAGAAACTGCTAAAGTTAAAAAAATAATAAAACAAAGAAACAAACAAAAATGTGACCAGTGAGTATAAAAGTGTAACTGTAGTGAGAACCAGGAAGGAAAGTGTTGGGGGTCTGGGTCTGAAAGCCTACGGTGGGGACCCTGAACTGTCCCCTGGGGAAGTGGCATCTGAACCTGGAGCCCAAGCTCGGAAGGAACGAACACGGTGAAGAGGCGTGTGGCCGAGGGGGCTCAGCGAGGGCTGTGCCCATGTTACTTCGTGGCCCAGGAGCTGCAGCCCACAGCCCCAAGCCCAGGAGGAGCTCGGCCGGGAACAGACTCGAAAATCAAATTCCTGTCCGAAATCATACTGCCCTTCCTCCTCGGGAATCTGGGAGACTTGAGACAAGAAAAGGAGGACCTGTGTGCAGCCACGGGACGAGGGCCCTCCCTGCGAGGCCCTCAGCTTCCGGAGCATCTCTTTCCACCACAGGGGCGTGTGGCCCAGGAGCCTACTGGGCACAGGTCGGGTGGCGGGTGGGAAGGAGCCAGGGGCCGACAGCCTACGCAGCCAGCAGGACCCCAGCCGGGGAGGCTGTTAGGAAGCGGCTCCGTCCTGCCCTGGCCCCTGGGCCTTTGTGCCCCACTTTCCCTGGGCCTTGAGCTGTCCCCCAGAATCCATGGGTCGTACCTGAACCTCCCCCTCAAGAACAGAAGTCTTTCCTGGACTCCCAGCAAAGACTCACAAGAAATTTTCTAGTCAGAACCCTGTCCTGTCTTTTTGGAACATGTGGCCTTGTGGTCAGAGGGGTCCCTGCCGCTGCTGGGCCCCAGCCTCACCTGAGCCCTGGCCCTTCTCCGGGGAAGGCAAAGCCCTGCGTCCGTCAGGCCGGAGCGAGGCACCTGAGGTTTGGAAGCTCCTGGGAAACGAAGTCTGAGCTCTGCAGAGGGAAGGGCTGTGTGGGGCGAGTCCGGGGGACGGGCCGTGGGGACGGGCCAACTTCCTGCACACATCAGGGCACGGGGGCCGTCTGGACCCTGGCCTTCTGCTCCTCAGCCCGGGCCCAGGGAGAGCGAGCCCCAGGTCACCCTTCTTGGCTTCTCAGTGCGGGAGCTGGTACAGCGCCACCGCCTGCTGTGCTCCAAATAGCTGAAGACTCGACAGCGGGAGCCCTGGGCACAGAAAGACAGGCGGAGGGGCCGAAAGAGCGCTGGGCTGGAACCAGAAAGCAGGGGTCCGAGCACTGCTCCCGGGTCCTGAGAGGATCACTGTGCCTCTGAGCCTGCCACCCACGGGGGGTCTGACCAACCGCACAGGCCGGGGGGATGTGGGCATCGGGGAGAAGGAAGATGCTCTGCACCCCCACCCTGGAGAGAGCCGTGTCAGTATGGGGAATATCCCCATTGCCAAGGGGAGGGCAGCGCCAGGCAGGCCTGGCAAGTGTCTCAGGGGCTCCCCAACATCACTAGCCCATCAGGCAGCCCCGCTGGCCCAGACCCAAGACTATATGCAGAGTCAGTGCCAACCCTGTGGACCCCAGTAGAGCCACCAAAGAGGCGAGCCCGGCCGGGAAAGCCTATTGCTGGCCTACCAAGGCCAGTCGGTCTCCCACTCCGAAACAGCCGAGCTTTTCAGCCACTTCCTGCAGGGGTTGGGCGGTGAAGAGTCCTCCGAGGCACCCCTACAGCTGCGAGCCATCGTGGCAAGCTATGCATCCAAAATCCTTGCCAGAGCTTTGATCCCTGGGTCCTCTGGCCACTCACCCAAAGATTCAGCTCCTGCCGAGCTCTGTGCTCACCCCAGGGGTCTGTCCATGGGGTCTGCATGTGTGTGCAGTTGTGGGCAGAGGCGTGGCTGTCAGTGAGTTCCCGGCCTCCACCACGATAGCCCTAACATTCTGAGGCTGGTGCCACAGCCTGGCCAAGCACGGGAGGCCTGGGAGGGCCCTCTCCCCTCAGCTACAGGCCCTGTGCTCTGGGAGGTGGGGGCTCAGCTGACCTTTCCCATTGGATCGCTGGCTTGTCTCTGCCCCATGACAGGTTGGGGCAGCATCGGCACACGCCACTGTGCACGCACACCTGCTCTGGTGTGTGTCTCTGCCACACACCCAACAGCAGTGCTGCCCCGCGTGGGAAAAACCCCGGCTGCTTGCGAAACAGATAAGTCAGGAGTTAATTATGTTAATTAGGCATCCTCCTAGCGCCTTGGCTACATCACGGACTCAGTAGAGAACGGAACAGACTGAGAAAATCAGAACTAAGAGCTGCTTACTCGTTACATCCCTGTCAATCAACAGGGCAGCATTGTTGGCATTTTCCACGGGAAACTATGGTTCATGGGATTCGGATGTGCACGCAGATCCCCAGAAACAGAACTGAGGCATGAAAGAGGCGCGTACCTGCCTGCACACCCAGGACCTGCTCTTAGGAGCCTCTGGTGCACCCCACCCCGCACTGCCAGGGTAACCATGGGTAGGGCCTGTGGCCTGGCACATAATACCAGGTCCCCAGACTTCAGTTTGCCCCACGCACTTGAGCTAAAAATTTCCACATAAAAAACTTTTTGTGGGCCTGCCAGGGCCAGATGGCGAAAGAATAAGCTTCGGCAGCCTGGACGGGGCGCCGCCAGCAGCCTCTGCGGGGCTCCAGAATCTCTCTTGGGACAGCCAGGTCCCAGCAAGGCCAGGAAGGAGCTGCCACGGGGCAGGGGCAAGGCCTTCCCTTCCTTGGGCCGGCGGCCGCCAGGCAGGTGGACGCGCCAAAAGAGGCTTCGGCCTCATCGTAACTCTTCCTCAAGACTGGTCTTATGCCCCAGCAAGGCCACATCTGGGGAGGCTGAGGCTGGGAGGTCTGACCCATCATCACCGTCCTGTCGTCTCGGTTGCCTTTTATTAGAGCCTCCTGTGTGCGCGGGCTGCTTACATAGTCCCGTAATTCTCACAGCCACGAGAAGTGCACGTGGTCACTCTCCTTCTAGACAAGGACACGTCAGCTCCAAAGGCTAAGAAACTGGCCCAGAGTGACCCAGCCAGTAAGCGCTAAGGGAAGGATGTCCAGCTGTGGGCCTGGGACCCTGTGCTCCGGCCACAAACCAGCCTGACCAGTGCTGCAGCCTGAGCTGGGCCCTCAGAGTGGACTCTCCAGACCCCCGCCCACCCGCCCACCGCAGCCCTGCGCGGGCCTTGCCCTCAAGGCCAGGCCGTCCCTGCTTACATGGCCGAAGGGGTCCAGGTGGTTGTTTGTCAGCTTCAGCTTCTGGAAGGAGACCAGCTGCCGCATCCAGTGGGCCCCCGTGGCGGGAGAGTCCGGGTGGACGTAGAGCCGTCCTGGCATGGCGGGCTCAGCCTTCCCGGCCACCATCCTGCGACAGAGCAATCGGGCCACAGCAGGTGGTTACCAGGGTCTGGGAAGCCCAGAGTCCCTGTCCCCTCTCTGAGAACAAGTCCCCACAGATCTGAAGGGAAAGCATCAGTGCTGGTCCGTCACACGGACAACGCAGGACTTGGGGGCAGAGTGAGGGACAGAGAGAGCGAATACAGAGAAATGTCTTCATTAACGAGAAGGAGCGGGGCGAACCTCAGCTGTATTCTGCAGAGATTTAGACAGCACTTCTCTGTTATTATAGGTAATTTAAAAATGTTATAAATATTATGTGGAGGGAGCATCTCAGAGGACCTAGACAACATTCAGATTTCTTGCCCCCAAAACAATGCTTGCCCCCAAAGAAATTCACTGGTAGCTGCCCCCCAGCCAGAGCAGTTCTGAGTGCAAATCCAGCGCTGACAGGGAAGCAATAGAGGCACAGCCCTTGGCAGGACCCGGCTGCTGAATCGATCAGCCTCTGCTGGCCCTGCACCCCCCCACCACGGAGCCCACAGCCCGGGCGGCTGCCTCACTTCACCCCTCGCTCTCCCTGACCTCTGTCCTGGGCTCTGGGGGCAGACAGAGCACTTAGGAGGCGGCCCCAGGGAATGGAGTCGTGTTTATTTACCTGACCCCAGTCTGGTTTGCCTTTCAACCCAGCCCCTTGTCAAGGTTCCCATCATCCAACCACCAGGCAGCGGCACACTGACTGGGTGGTGGACACACATTGTGGCCAAAGAGGGGGCGAGTGGACAAACAGGAGAGAGACACCACCGAGCAGGCAGCTGGACCCCTAAAAAATGGCTCCCGTTCTCCTCCCCATGCAGTATGGCCAGAACCTAACCCCCTCCCCCAGGTGGGTGTTCACCTGTCACCCCACAGCATAGCCACCAATCCTGTTTGTCCACAGCTGTGGGGATAGCACAGACCCTTGAAACCCACAAAACGCCCCAGCACCGCAGCTCATTCTCAGCCCCAGCCCCGCCCTCCTGCAGCGGGTGAGCAGACCCTGGCTGCCCACAGCCTCTGCAGATCTGGGCAGTCTCTGGTACTGACTGGTGAGTCCCTGGCGCAGACATCGGGTGACGATGGGTGTGGTACTTGGAAAGAGCAGGGTAGGGAAGGCAGGTGATGTGAGGGTCTCAGGTTCCTACCATTTGTTGTCACAGAACTTGTAGCGGTGGTCATCCGCAGGGACGATGTCAATCAGCAGGATATACTTGGTCTTGGGGTTCATGCCCGTGACTTTGACCTTGTAGCTGGGGAACATCCTCCTGGGGGAAGCCACAGAGTGAGGCAGAGGCACGGAGAGAGCACCAGGAGAGACAGCACAGGGTGAGCGAGGGGACAGAGGGCCTCAGGGGCATTGCTCCTCTACCGAGGGGTCTTGGCACCCGCCGGAGCTGTGTGACCTTGTGTCAGTCACTTCCCTCTCTGGCCTCAGCCTCCCCCTGCACAAGGAGAGGGATGCACTACCACTCTCAGCCCCTGCACCTGTCAGTCTGTGAGCCGAGAAAGAAGGTTTACACGGTTTCCCAAACTGAAACCCCACCCTCTCCCGCTCCCCCAGGATTTAGGCCTAGTGGCTGTGGGCAGCTAAAGCACAGAGGCCTGGGCAGGTCCTGGGAGAGGATTTTGACATCAACCTGTCTGCCTATCTTCCCTCCTGTCCTTCACCAGTCCGTGGGCAGCTGAAGTGCTAGGGTGCCACCACAGGGCCAGAGCAGAAGACCTGCAAGTCCCTGCCGGCTGCTTCCAGTCATTGAGAGCCCTCCTCTGGTCACGTCTCTGTGGAGACTCTCAGGCCTCAACCAACTTGCAGGAAGCAGAGTTCTGCCAGGTCTTTGGATTCCTTCGCGGTGTTTAGCAGAGGTGCTCCTCCCCGTGAGAGCCTGGCCTGGGCCTGCCCCCGCTAACTGGGCACCAGGGGACAGCGGTCCAGGAGCTCCTGGAGAAGGGCCTGGGTTCGAGAGCCACTGCGCTGCGGTTCACGCCTGGCCCCACAGGACAAGCCGGGAGGCTGTTTCCTGACAGGCAGAGGTTACTCCGCCCCTCAGGCTGCTGTGGGGACGACGAATCCGCGTACAGCAGTCACCACGGACCCCTGCACGCCTCCCTCCAGACGGGGGATGACCTACCTCTATGAAGATGGATTCCCAAGAGACAGAAAGTTTTCCAGTCTCTGCAGCCCATGCTGAGACTTTCCAGGACCCAGAGGCTCAAAGAACATTCTGGAGAACAGCTTCCCCAGGCCCCTGGGCACATACACACATACCACGGTATGTGCCCACACCTGCAGGGGACAGCTCCCTCCCCTGGTCCCCAGAGGGGCCGACAGAACTTCCTCACAGCTGTCCCCTCATACCCCATCCCTCCTAGATGGTCTCCCACAAAAGGGCCCCCTGAGAGAGGCAGGATCCAAACCTAAATGAAGACACAAAGGGCCCCCAGAACCAAGTCCCCTGAGCTGGGAGCTTGCCCTGCCTGCCACTCCAGGAAAGCCAGCGGCTGGTCCTCTGCCTCGCTGAGCTCAGAGACAGTACAGGGGCCCTCAAGAGAAGCTGTCCTGGGCACCTCAGATGGTTGGGGTCCCCGTTTTGTCGACAGGGGCACCAGCTTACCTGAACAGGGCAAGCCTTCCAGAAGGGGTCAAGACTTCCATAAGCTGGCAGACCCTACCGCAAGCCGGGTGAGGCCCCTGAGGTGGAGGGCTCACCCCTCCCAGCCCGCCGTCCTGCCCCCTCTTGCTGGAGGAGAGGCAGTGCGAACCTGCGGTGGCCGGGGTGTGGGAGGTGTGTGACCATGTGTGTGCACCGGCGCATGTGACCTACAAGGTGGAGTGCGCACGCGTGCCTGTGTGCGTGCCTGGAGGGAGGAGGGAAGTTCTAGCTGCAAGTCTAGGGACTTATAAACCGTGTGGAAGAATTTGTCTCAGATGTCAATTGAAAGCATTTTCAAATGTCCACCCCACCCCCTCTCCAGGACTGGGGGAAGCCAGCGAGCTCAGGAACCCAATCCTGCCTCCTGCTCACCAGCCCCCCTGCCTGGCCTGGGGGCACAGCTGGAGCCTGCACCACCCTTTCCTGGCCCAGCTCTCCCCTGGTGGGCCCGGAGGAGAGGGAGGGCGGCAGCTGCTGCACCCCCCTCCCCGGGGGAGGGCCGAGCATCCCGTCCTTTCCAGGCCACCATTTTGTAACTGCCACAGGAACAGCCACAAAATGGGGCCTGCACGTGGCCGGTGTCTCCTGTAACCAGGCCAGGTGGCAACAGCAGAGGGCGGACGTGGCTTCCCCTGGCCAGTGTCCACAAAGGGGCCAAGAATCCCGCTCACTGCCACAGCCGGTCTCCATAACCTGGGCTGAGGGGCAAGGGGCCTGTCCTCCCCCTGCTCCCACTCCCTGCTGTCCACCGCCTGGCTCAGCCTCCAAGGTGTCCTGTGATCTGGCTTCTAGACACTGACTGCAGACCCGACTCCTGGCCCAGGTCTCAGGGAGGCTCGGGGGCAATGGGGCTGGGAAGGAGGGTCTCTCAGCCTCTGCCTCCGCCCACCAGTGCCCCTCTGTCAGGACAGCAGCCCTCAGGGGCAGCGGGAGGTCGGCCCGCTGGTCTGCATGGGGTTCAGAAGTCCTCCAGGGCTCAGTGAGCTCCATGCCACATGAAAATGCACCTGCTCTCTGCCAGGGCCGGCTGGTGACTGTCCTGGGCCCTGGAGAACACACTCTGTGGGGATCCCAGGCACAGCCATTGCCCCTCTAGGGGGCTCCAGAAGGGTGGGCGCTGCCCTGTGTGGGGACGAGCCTGAGTGTGAAGGTGAAGCACGCTCCACCCACCCCGCAGGCTCCTGCCCAAGCGGAGGGCATCGGCCCCTGCTCTAGAGGTAGCTCGGCCTGAGGCTGGGTGTGGGAGGGCAGCAGGTGGGCATCACCGGAGCCAGGAGGATGGCTGGGTGTGGGAGCTGGGCTTCCTCCAGGCTCACCCTGCACTGGAAGGGTCCTCTCTGAGACAGATGAAGCGATGGAGTGGGTGTATCTTGTTTCTGTGATTTAGGACATGAAGTGTACCTGAAAACCAACACCAAATTCTCTCAGTTGGAGGGGGTGGGAGAGCCAAGAGGGGGGTACCTGCTCCGAAGCAGCCTGCAGCCCGCAGCCCACCGGCCCTGCCACCAGCCTGGGCTCAAGTCCTGGCTCACCTTGCACACCCCTCCCCCGAAGTCTGAGCCCGCAGCGTCTCCCTATCCCCTCCCAGGGCCACACCAGCCGGCCCCCCATCCCCTCCCAGGGCCACACCAGCCGGCCCCCCATCCCCTCCCAGGGCCACACCAGCCGGCCCCCCATCCCCTCCCAGGGCCACACCAGCCGGCCCCCCATCCCCTCCCAGGGCCACACCAGCCGCTCCCCATCCCCTCCCAGGGCCACACCAGCCGGCCCCACATCCCCTCCCAGGGCCACACCAGCCGCTCCCCATCCTCCCCGCGCTCTCCCAGACCGAGGGGGCACCCGCACCCGAGGAAACAGCCCGCCGGGGAATAAAGAAGCCGCCCGCCCTGCGGGCCTGGGGAGAGATGAAAGCGGGGGTCCCCCCTCTGATCTGAAAGGGTACGGGGCTGGAGCCTTTATCTGCTTCGCCCTCGGAAATGGCTTTAGAATGAACTGCTAAGATAAGCTTCCTTGGACAGGGCGCGGAGAAACGGTTTCGGGGCATTTTGATTTTGGCAACAAATCCTTAAATGCAAACTGGCGGCTGAGCGGGAACACGCATTACAGCTGCGCTCAGAGAGCCGCCAATTCAAAGCTGACCCCCCAGTCCCGCCAGGGGGCAGGGGACAGTGAGGCGGGGCCAAACCCACCGCAGCTCCGACCTCCTGGTGGGGGCCACAGCGGGACCCCAGGCGCAGCTACCTGTGCTTTCTCTTAAATGCAGGCACAAAACCAAACTGAAGGGGGTGAGAAGGCTGGAAAGAGGTTCTGAGGGGGCCGGTGGTGCCTGGGAGGGATTCTGGGGCCTGGTAATGTGTGTTTCTTTATCTGGGTGGTGGTTACACAGTATGTTCACTCTGTGAAAATCTACAATTAAGAATTGTTCACTTTTATGCAGGAATGTTCCACTTCAATAAAACTGACATTAAAAATTACACACACACACACACACACACACTCTCACACACACCCTGCAGCCCAGAGTCTGAAAGGAACAGGCTGCAGGCAAAAGGCCGGGGGTCCACAGAACCCCACTGGTCTTTCTCTCCCTAGTGTCTGGGGATCTTCAGGAAGAATTCTGGGTATGTTGGGAAGGGGCCAGGGCCCAGCAACCAAGGCGGAGTTTGGGGGCTGTTGTGGAACCAAATCTTGTGTAGCCAAATGATTTCTGAGAGCTATAACACAGCTATGTAATTTATTTCCACTTACACACACACACACACACACACAGTTTTCTAATTCACTCAAAGCATTTTTGAGAAATATTTTCCCTGAAGTTGGGGCAGGAGTGAGGGTGTGTGGAATGGATGCTGTTTGGGAAGGTCAGTTGCTTCTCTTAGATTTTTTTTTAAAAAGACATTTCCTTCTGATAGACTTTTGCTTTCAGAAAATACTTTAAGAAGAGATCAAAGCACTCTCTCCCCAACCCACTTTCCCAGTGTCTTCAGCTCTTCTCTTATCACCCGCCACTGAGGCTGACGCTCTGTATACAGAGCCAGGGCAATTGGCTTTGAAGGCCCGGATTAAGCCAGGCCAAATCCTTGCCTCAGAATAACAAACAATACAGGTTCAACAGGAGTTCTCATCGGTAGTTCATTTTTCAAACGCAAATTCACTGTCACTAACACAAGCAACATTGAACTCCACAGCCTATGAAGGCTGATAGTGGAGATTTATCTGGTGGCACAACCATGACCTAGGAGGAGGGCAGTCAGGCGGTTAGGAAATTTTCATTTTGGGGAGGTTTATATTTAAATTTTTGTAGAGCTCACTTTTATCTGTGCTTGGGAGAAAAATGCAGTTTCTAACTTGTATCAAGCTCGGCAGGGATATAAGGAGGCAGAGAAAGGGGTCTGCTCTCTGCACTCAACAGCATAAACCTGTTTGCAGGGGCCTGAGAGGGACAGAGACAGCTGGGGAGGGGTCTGGCCACATCTTGTACCGGACCTCAGGGTTCCTGATCATTCAGAAATTGACGTATCATACTGTATGGGCATTTTGTTCACCGTATCAAAATTCAAGAATTCAAACTCACTCCTGTGGCCTTCGAGAGGCTTAAGGCGAGAGACTTGTGACCCAAGGATTCAAACTGACTTAGAACATTCTGTTCCCTGTCCCCAGAGCCGGCCCTTCCATCCGCAGACAGCAATGATCATGCCCCCACCAGCAGGGTCTCTGGGCCAGAGCCACGCCCCATTCAAAACACTGAACTGGCCCTGAAAATAAGCAATCAAGGAAGTGTCTCCAAGCTGAGGTTTTGTCCTGGGGGTGGGGTATCATCTGCTTGGCTTGCGTAGACCTGGTAACTGCCTAACTCTGCTTCTATCTACAAGAGCCAAGTGCCTTTCTTTCTGTGGGGTCGGGTTTATGTCCAGCTCCCAGGCTAGGGATCTAGGAGTCTAGGAATCTGGGAATTTAGGAGAAGGTCCAGGTCATCCGCTGAGAAATGAAGTTTCAGGAAGGGTGCTGGTAGAGACACAAAGAAGCGAAGGGGGGGGGGGTGCTGGACAAGAGGTTGAAGAGCCACCAGCCCAAGCAAAGCTAACTGTCTCCTGAGGCTGCCCCGGGGAGGGAGGCAATAAAATAAGAGGGGAGGGGTCACAGGGATCAGAGCGGTGAAAGTGGTCTCTCTGAAGGCAGTGGGCAGCTACGCAGGAAGAAAAGGGGTCTGTGAGAACTGGGGGGGAGGGGGAGGCTAGTGACTTTCTTAAGGACTAGGACCTGGGGCGAGGAGAACTTTCTGCCAGAGAAATGAAAGACTGTGGTGAATCCATAATTGGCCAACATCATCACAACAGGTTTTAAATTATATCATTCCCTGAAGCCCATCTCCCAGCCTCCACGAGAATCAGGCACAAAGTCTGCCCGAAACCAGTCACTTTTAGAAATGTGTGTGTGTGTGTGTATGTTGGGTGGAAGGAGGGAGGAGGACCCAAGCAGATGCAGGAAACCCCACTGAGAAAAATCACAAATGCCTTTTGTTTAAAATGGCAGAGGCCAGGCATGGCCAAAGAATTGCTGGCCATTTATTTTCTAGAGACAAGGTTATTTCTGCTGACTAAAAATGGAAGTTCTGAATTTTTCCCTGTCTTCTCTCCTTCTGCCCACCACAGCAGTCGCAAGAAATAAATCCCCCCCTTCACACCTGTAATCCACTCAACAATGTGCCATGCACTGCTCACACGGTCCCTGGTTTGAGTCTCACAGTAACGGGAAAAGGAAGGAGGGCAGGTAGGTCTGCAGCCGCCATCTCCGTGTTACCGACACCACTGAGCCACAGGGAGCTTAGGCCTTTGGCCAAGTGCGCTAAGCTAGGAAAAGGCAGGGCTTGAATGCCTGGCCCCCCACTGCCCCTCAATGACCACTCTGTGTGGCACTCTCTGCCAGCCTGCACTAATGCATCCTCCTTCCCCATCCCCCAAATGCAGCCAACTCAGGCCCTGACATCTAACTACTGCTCCCTCTCCTGACAGAGACCCTGGTAGCCAGGCTGCCTCCCTGACTTAGGTAAGAAGGCAGCCAAGTGCCCAGACCCCCACCCCCAACACAACAAAGGAAACCTCACCAGGCTGGCCAGTGAGCAGACAGGAAGGACCGCGACACCCCGACATTGCACACCACCAGCTTTTTGAATAGCCTAAGCAGTTCAACAGGGTTCTCTAGAAAGTAGGGAGGAAATGCTGAGTGGATACCAGACATTTCTCTTAACTATGGTTCATATGATTAGCATGTGTTATATTAATGTTATAGCTGGCGTTTATTGTGTGCTTACATGTGCAGGAGGTGTGCTAAGTGCTTTGCATACAACTGTGTGAAGACGGACCTATTATTTTACAGCTGGAGATAAGGAGGGGCAGAGACCCTCGCCTGAGGGTTGCCCAGATGGGAGCAGCTGAGCTGAAACCGAAGCCCCGGCCGGCCGTGGGCACCAGATCCCTGGCCCTCAGTGCTTCACCATCTTAGTCTTCAGAAAACCCAGTTATGGGCCCACAGCCAGGCCAAGGGACAGTTTCACGCCTAACCTGACCCCCAAGGATCACAATCAAGTGTGAGCCCTGGCCGGTTTGGCTTAGCAGTGAGAGCTTCAGCCTGCGAACCAGAGTCCCAGGTTCGGTTCCCACTAAGGGCACGCACCTCCATTGCAGTTTGTCCCCGGCCTGGTTGGGTCATGTAGGTGGCAACCAGTCGATGTGTCTCTCTCATGTCCATGTTTCTCTCTCTTCCTCCCTCTCTTCCTCCAGCTCTATTTGAAAATAATGCAAAAATGTCCTTGGGTGAAGATTAAAAAAAAAAAAAAAAAATCAAGTGTGAGTTTGTGGAGGTGAAGTGGGGGGAGAGGAGCGGGAGGCAGGGGGGTTCCTGAACCTGAACTTTCCAGCTTCTGTCTGCAGCCCTCTCCCTTCACCTGATAACAGCTCCTTGCTCTCCGGCGGCCCCACCCAGACGCGGCCCAGCCAACCGCTCCGTCAAGCCCGGCTGCATCTTCCTCCTCTCACCCTCTCCTCCCGTTCTCTCCCACAGACACCAGCGCATTTTAAAGATGTTTCCACTTTATAAATCATCCCTCTCTGGCAGCCACCGAGAGCTGCTCCCCAAACAACACACACACACACACAGGGCCCGGCGGTGCCTTCCCCTTGGCGGAGGAGGGGGCTGGCAACAGAATGCAGCACCCCTGGGATGAGAGACTTGGGGTTCATGTTGTCCCCCCCAAACGTTATGGAACTAGGAAAATATGGTGCCGTCCCCTTCCTCTACTTGTTAAGGGGCATCTCCAAGTGCCCCATCAATGCAATCCTGAGAAACCCTGCAGATCCCCCAAAGGAGGAGGACAAAGCAGCCTCCCAGGGGGCCAAAACTGCAGGAGCCGGGACCCCCAGCGTAGCTGCGATCCTTATTTGCATCCATTTACATAGTGCTGCCCCCGCCTCCTTCCCTCCAGACGCTCCCTTGCGGGGTAGCCCTTGCGGTTTACTGGGGCTAGGGCCACAGCGGTGGAGGAAACGCCCGTCGCTCCCCCACCCCAGGTTGGAGACCCAGAGGGCTGAGGGAGCCCCTGGGGATCCCCACTGCTCCACCCCCCACCTCCCCCACCCCAAGTCCGTCTCCCAGAGCTGACCTGCCCGCCTTGGTGATGATCATCTCCGTGCCCGCCTCGTGGAACTTCTTCCAGAGCTCCTTCTCGTGCAGGCCCACCTTGATGTTCTCGATGGTCTGAGGACGGAGGGAGGGGAGCTTGTGTGGGCCTGCCCACGGCCCCAGCGGAGCCCTCAGGCCCAAGGGACTATGCAGAAACACTGCCAGTCCCCGGAGCCCCGCTACAAGATTTTGTTTCACGAAATTATTCCGTACCATTGATGATTTTTTGAAAAACGTAATCAGTGGCTGAACCCCCCTTTCGGAGTTGCACCTGTAGAAGGGCCGGCAGAGGACACACAAACTGCCCGTGCCACGGTGGGTGACCCACTCGCACACAAGGGTAAACATCCACGTGCCGGGACATAGCCGCAGGCTGGCGGGCGGCCGCGGACCCAGGAGGGCCCCTCCGCTGACTCGCTCTCGCAGACCCGGCTGCGGACCCGCACAGGCCCAGCGCAGTCGGCTCACTGTTCTCAGGTCACCACCCGACCCTCCGGGTGAAGTCCCCGCGGCTCTGAGCTCCGCGCGGCTCCCGGCACACACCCAGCCGGTCCCAGGCTTTCACCCCCGGCCTCTCCGGGTCGTCGGAAGCGAACCCTTGGCCTGGGCCCCCTCCGCTGCCGCCGGTGCCCTCCCCTCCCTGTCCCAGAGCAGCTGGGAGGGATCCAAGTGGCGGCAGGACGGCAGGCAGAGCGCGAGCCCCTGCCCCACGAGCACCAACGCAGGGCAGCCAGGTCCCCCAGGAGTGAGTCGTGCCCTCCGTCGGGCTGACAGACAGGCGGCCCGCAGACAGATCGACGCCGGACCTGTGCCCGACGGCGGGCGTACCTACCTGCTCAGCGGCGGAGGCGGCGTCGGCTCCGGCTCCGGGGCCCGGGGAGCTGCCGAGCGCGGCCCCGCCAAGGTCCGGCGCGGCCAGCGCGGGCTCAGGGGCATTGGCGGCGTTCGCCTCCCCGAGCGCTGGGCCCGGGGCCCGGAAGGCCTCCTCGCTCTCCGACAGGCCCTTGTCCTGCAGCATCTCCTGCGGGCACAGCACACACCGGTCACATGCCCAGGTCCACACTGGCCAGAGGCCCCCCGCAGCCCTCTCGAGCTGAGCGGGGTGGGGAGTGGGGGGTCTTTGGGCCGGGTGGGGAGGCCGCCCCGGCAGGTGGACCCCGCCCCCTCCTGAGCTGGGGGAGGGAGAATGTGCCAGGGCAGGACCCTCGCCTCCTCACACTGGGTTCTGGACCTGAGAGGGTCTGCCTGCGGTGCAGGGTCTGCCTGCCCAGGGTGTGGGGCTGTGTGATGAGTAGGTCTCGGGGAAGGACCGCCCTCTCGGCATTGCCCCAGCTGTACCCCCAGTCCCTCCCTCCTGCTGGACTCCGGGGGAGCCTGAGGCCTGGGTCTTTGGGCTGTTCCCTAAGAACTGGAGTCCAGGCTCACTTTGGGGCCAGGGCAGACAGGAGAGGAGAGCCAGGCCAGAAGGGCAGGCCCCAGGCTCCTGAGGCTCCACACCTGCAGAAAGGCCGGGCAGCCCCTCAGCCCTTGCTCACCCTCTGCCACTCTCACAGACCAGCCAGGTGGAGACGTCCTGAACCACAGGCCTTTACTCCTGCACACTCCCACTCCTGCAGGCACTTTATGTCACCCACGCAGCACACCCGGACACAGCACCCTGGCACAGCCTCCTAGTCACCCAAGCAACCACTCTCCTAAGGCTGGTCTGTGTCAGTCCCTGAGCTCAGCCAGGAGCCTCCCAGCCTTGCTCTCACATTTACAGTCACTGGCTCACTCACACTTTTGGCTCCAAAGGACTCTGCTCTGGGGCAAGGGAGCCAGACCCTTTCCAGTTAAGGACCAGGTCATTTGGGTGGGTCCCCTTTCCAGGCACAGCCTAGTCCTGCCCCAGGGCACAGCTATCCTTCCCTAAGCGTCTAGGACTATTCAGCAGTCTGCCCATGTGCCTGCTGGTCCTGGGATATCAGGATGAGAGTCCAGCCTGCAAGGACCTGCCTGTCCTGCCTCCATCATGGGTGCAATCCTGCATTATCTCTGCATCTCCTTCCCACCTCCCTGCTCTTCTTACTTCTTCTGGGTCTGGGCAAGTTCTGGTGGGGCGTTCTATATGTCTGCCTGGCTTTTCTATATGTATGTCTATGGTGGAATGTTCCCCCTTCCTCCTCCTACCTTTTTTGTTCTCCCCTGGATCTACTCTGGGCATTTCAAGGCCCAGGCCCCTGGCCCCTCCTGTCCACTGGCTCCTCATCCCAGGGCCTAGACATCGGGCTCCCGGGGCCTCACAAAGTAAATAAGCCAAGTGCAACCGAGGAGATAAAAAAGGGGCTGGGGCCAGTTGGGGCTCGAAAAAGCCCTTAAAGATAAGGCTGACAGCCGGGCTGGTCCCCAGGCCTCAGGCAGCAGGGAGCAAGGCGCGACCTGCTTGGCCAGCGCCAGAACCCGCCTTGGGCCACATGCGGGGTCCAAGGCTTCTGCACGGAAACCCAGAAGCCTCTGGGCAAGAGGATGCTACGTGGTGAGGGCAGTTGCGCGCTCTGGGACAAGACACTGGATTCGATTCTATCTGGTGCCTGTCGGGATAGGTGCCCAAGATCGGCTGGTCCAAGGTGCCGCGGCCCGCATGGGGCCAGGAGGAGGGGCCGCCTGGCGCGGTGCTGCCTTGGCCACTAGGTCCTCTGCTAGACACTTGTCACACCCAGAGCTGTACACTGGTGCCCCTCAGCTCGCACCCAGGGCTCTCCGCAGTGCCCGGTGCCGAACACATCGGGAGCCCGAGTCCACTGTCGCCAATCCCCGCCCCGACTGGGGACGAGGGCTTCGCTCCAGCTCTCCTTCTCCTCGGGGCTCACCTCTTCCTTTCCTCTTGGTCAGGGAGCCAAACCCCGACAGCTCGCCCTCGCTGGAGCTCCCGCTAATTTCCTTTTCTTCCCGCCCGACTGGCCCAAAGTGCAGTCCCTGCGGTCCCCTCGGCAGAGCTGGGTCCGCACCCAGCCGAGTCCACGGCCCACACTCGCCTTCTCTATGGACCCTCTGCGGGCGAGCTGGCTGCGCGTCCTTTGCTTTCAGCTGCCTCGTTTTCCAAGAACAGCATTTTTCTTTTCACTCTAGATTACTGGTGATATTGTTCTTGCACAGAGGGAATTGTTACATTCTAATGACCTCTATGATCAGAGTTGTAGCCTGTTCAGTTCAATAACATTAGGAATATCCTATCACAAATTATTTCGTACTTTTTATTTTTAATACTATATGGTTAAAGTATTGGTCTGATTAATTCATCATTATTAAACATGGCAGGGCTTCATCATTCTGGGGCCTAGTGTTCCAATAGGTCATGTCAATCTAGCCTTATTTTAATTTTTACTTTGTATCCCTGAAACGTTTTCTCAGTCTCTGTTTGTACTTTGTCACAGTTTCACAAACTTATTTACCATACTTGTAATTCTCAATATTCACATCAGTTTTCTTCCCATCCTTATACTTAGTGCTGCCTGTTATTCTGCCATTGTTTTGTTAGGATTGCTCATAATACTCCAAGTATTCATCACATTGTTACAATATCTTGTTATTTTGTCTTTATTGGTAATGCTACAGATCTTAATTAGCTAGTTATTTTTCATCACATCAGGACTTGTTGCTACTTTGTCATAATTTGTAATACTGCTGTAGCTCTTAATATTCTGGTTATTTTCATCACATTGGTTCAAACTTCTTATTACCCTACCATTATTTATAATGTTGTTGGGACTATTAATACCTTTGTCATAAATTGTCATATCATTCCAGTAATTCTACTTGCTGTCTTTATTTGTATTACCATTGCTCTTAAGATTTGGGTTAATATTTATTTTAATAATTCATTGTAGTATCAACAATAAGTTATATGACAGTATTCTGTCCATTTTACTAATTACCTTCATAGTACTTATTATTCACATTTTCCTACATTTTTATCATTTGTTACTCTATTACTGTTTCTTATACTATTGCTATTTGTTTTCATACAATGGTTCTTATCACATTGTTCCTATATTTGGAGTTACTTTGTCTATGATCGTTTTAAATTTGTGATTACAATTTTCACTTGGCTCTTAAAATGACTAGTATTGTTTTGGCGTTTTCAAGTCCGAATGCTGTACTAATTATGCCGCTTAGCCCTGTTTCTTTGGTAATTGCTTGCTCACATTCTGACAATTCTTGATCATTATTTACGTATAATGCTCCTTGCTTTAATTTTGACGAGCCTGTTATATCAAAGGCTCCGAAATCCAGTGTTCCCACCACACACATTTCTACACTGATATTCACGGTAAGGAACCGGGACCTCTTTCCTGGCCTTTCCTATTCTGCAAATACCAATTTCGAGGCTACCGCGGCTTAACCTTGTTCCTATGCTATTTCTATGCTCCTGGGTCGCTCAACCCAATTCGTCGGTTACTCGGAGCAGAGGAGGGCTCAAGCCCCAACTGCTGGGAGCCGGCCGAGGCCGTAGCCTGATCTGAGGCACTTCTCGCCGCTCTCCTGTCGCCTTGACCATCAGAGAGGTCCTTACCCGTCTCGTTACTCTCCCCCTTTCCAGCTCACCCTCCCCGACCTTGCAGCCTAACCCTGGGCTCGGGTGGCCCCCGTCCGCCCGCCTGGCTCACCCCCATCCCGGCCAGAACCCACACTCACCCTAACTGCGCTGCCGCATGCGGAGGCGCCTGCGGCCCGAGTCCACTGCAGGCTCGGGTCCAAGGAACACTGGACAGCCGGGCTCCGATCTGGGGCCGCTGGGTCAGGATCCCTCTGCCCGCCGCGCCCTCGGGCCGGTCACATCCCGGCTCTGGAGCGGGCCCTTGATCTCCGAGGCTGCACTTTGGGGCCTCAGCTCCCTCCTCCTCCCTCCCTCCCTCCCTGAGGGGACGCCCCCCCTCTGACGTCGCCGCTGTCAATCAGTCTGCGCCTGACGCCCCCGGTGGCGGGGGGCCTCAAGGGTCCCCGGGCTCCGCGGCCCCAGGACCCCGAGCCCGGAGCGGGCCGCCGCTCCCCCGCCGCGGCCCACGCCCTCCCTGCGGCCCTCGGGCCCGCGGCGGCCGGGCTGGGAGCCCGCATGGTTTAGATTAGAGGGGCGGGAAGAGCGGGCGAGAGCCCGGCCGCCGCGGCTCCCACCCGAGGCTCGACATCCAGGACGTGCGGCCCGCACACGGGGCCCCACCGCGGGCCTGCCCGGCCGGGCGCCCTCAGACCGCCGCCCTCCACCGGGCCCGGCCGCGGGCTGCACGCACGCCCGGCCGAGCCGCTCCCGGCCGCGCACGCTCCCCCGTCGCCGGCACCCAGCGCACGGCCCGCGCGCGGCGACCGACCATGCCCAGCACACATTCTCACACCTCCGCGCCGGCCGCTCCTCCTGCTCGGGCTGCGGCCCGCCGACGGCCAGCGGCCTTTCCGTGCGCCGCCCTCTGCTCACCGCACCCAGCTCGTGGGGCCCAGCGCGCAGCGGGCGCTGGACCGGCCTGGCGCTCCTTGGAGTGGCCGCGGAGGTCGCGGGTGAGGGCAGGCCCTGCGCTCCGACAGGGAGGAGGCCTGGAGCGCGCAGGCAGCGGGGAGGTGCTTCGCCAGCCTCTGAATCCCAGCCGAGGCCAGGCTCCAAGGTGCCAGGCTTGGCAGAACCTCTTGGGGAAATTGCGGCGAGGACCAGGACTCAGCCAGCAGCAGCTCCCCGAGATCCCAGAGAGCTGAAGAGGAAGCCCAATGCTTCCCGTCTAGGAAGCGCTGCTTGAAGCCAGCCAGCCTCCGTGCCTCAGAAAGAAGTGAGGGCCCATCAGCTCCCTAGACCTCCCTGCACAGCCTCTGACTCCCAGTCTCCACTTAACTCTATTTCTCTCTGTGTGTGTCTGGACCCCCCCCCCCCCCAGACCCTTCAACTCCACAGCAGACAGACCCATGTGGACCTCAGCCTATGCCCAAGCCTCACAGCCTGACACATGCCAGAACGCTAGGTCAAGGATAGGCCTGCCCACTTACCCCAAAGGCCCCAGAGTGTTCTGTCAACAG